ATTTTTGGGCCCTGTATACAGTCCTCCATCTAAATCAAATGGAGATGAAGGAGAACACAATGAGAAAACACAAGCAACAATATTAGGAGAATGGCGTTGTATAAAATAAGAGGTAGCATTGCATTGACCAACAAGTAGGGGAGTTTTGGCCTAGGGGGTTAGAGCAGTGTGCTTATAGCCTGAAAATGTTGCAAGTACCTGGGTTCAATCCCCACAGCCTCTACTCTGGATTCCTGAGCAACACCCTTAACCCCAAATTGCTCCCCAGACACCGCACAGTGGCAGCTCACTGCAGAGGTAAATTTCTCCATTGTGGGATCAATAAAGTCCAATTATTAACAAGCAGAACAACAGCCCTGATTTCTGCAATTGTTTAAAAAAAATCATACTTTTTGAAAGATGACAGTAAAAAGTCACTCAGATTGAATTTCAGCTTGCCCTTTTTCGCAGGCATCCCAGTCAAAGGCAGAGCCAGCGCGACAAGCCAGTCAATAGAAGTCAGCAGTGATTATGCAAGTTGCTTATGCCTAATGGGTAAGGTCAGCACATTGCCAAGAATGGAACACACGGCCAGCCTTACGCTGGGAAGTACATGCGCCTCGTCCGTTTTTCCTGGAGAGAGAAACTGCACAGATGAAAATGGAAAATAAAGAAGGTTTCGTTTGCATAATACCTATTTAAGAGATATATTTAAATTTTGATTCATGCACTGTCCTTGAGTGTTTGGCAAAGATAAGTATATACTCTGTCATCAAACCCACTGCCTGATATCGGGTCAGTTTGACAGCAGCATTTTGGATCTGTTAACTGCAGTTTATGGACTTCCTGATGCTAAAGAATTACAATAGTCCCACCTTGAAGTAACACTTGCATTGACTAGTTTCTCTGCATCACCCCTGGACAATATATTTCTAAGTTTTGCAATAATCCAGAGAGAATTTTGGTATGGGATTTAAAAGACAGGTCCTGGTCAAACATAAAAATATATATTTTTAATTTGAAATCAATTTAATCTCATCCAAATGAAATGCTTCTTTTTCAAAGACTCTGGTCCAAAGATAATAATTTCTGTTTTGTCTGCATTCAGAAGCAGAAAGTTAAGAGTCATCAAGGTTTGTATGTCTTCAAGAAATGCCTGTAGTCTATGTAAAAGGTTAGTTTAATCTGGATTTATAGATAGATATAGCTGAACATCTTCAGTATAACAAATTGAAAATTGGTTATACCGTCTAAAAATTCTACCATTTGGTAGCATATATATAGTAAAGAGAATTGGCCCTAGCACTGATCTCGGTGGTACTCCACAAGTAACCCTGGAGCATGAGGATGATTTATCATTAATGAGAACAAACTGAAATCTGCCAGATAAATATTACTGAAGAGAAATATGCTGCTCTTTAACCCATTTAGGCCTAAAACGCCTGGAAAAAACACCTTAAAAACCTATGGCCGATTTTAAAAAATACCCCTAAAACCTGAAGTTTTTCTGTAAATTCAGCAACTGTGTCAACGCCTTAATTATTGATATCTCAGCTTCTGTAGCAGATAGAACTCAAAATATATTTTATCTTTGAAATTCTTCCAAAAAAAAAATGTGAAAAGCAGTAATCAAAAAAAAAAAAAAATTCAACCTTTTATTTTTTCCATATGTGATCATGTCTTCATTGAGAATGTGCAATATAAAACGTTTTCAAAATAAAGAACAAACATTACATAAATAACTATCTGATGATTACTTATTAACAGTATTATTATGCATAATAATGCATATGTCTGTGTTATAAATTGCATACAACATACCTCCAGATGGCCACAAATCTGTCCCGGGACATATTTTGGGGGAACTGCGTCCTGAAGAGAGGTTTACATACACAGCCCAATAAATGTCTTCATCTCCGTCACAGTCACGGGTGACCACTTTGCCATCTTTGCTCTTGTTGGAGTTTGGTTTGTTTGGTCACTGTACCTATTCGTCTCGGTAACTAGATGCATCCAAAGTTCTTCATTAAAAATATGCTCAAATGCCTGCAGCGGTGTGGCGTCTGCAGGCAAATCAACTTTCACTCCAGGTGTGCGGTTGAAAACACTCCGTGCATTGCGGTGGTAGTTCGATTGGTTCAGCGCGTTCAAAGTCATCATTTCATCTATACCGTCATCAAAGCCGACACACTCCTCAAAATCACTGCCTTCCGACAACTCTTCTCTGTCAAACTCCTCCATGTTTGCTTGAAAAAAACTTCTTTCTTCTTGCTTGACTTATATGCTCTCCCGGCGTCAATGGTAGAATGACGCAACAGCACCCCCGGCTTGAATGGTAGAAATGCGGTAATGCTTTCCCGGCCTAAATGGGTTAATCAAAAAGGGTCATTTTATACAGCAGTAAACTATTTGCCAGACTAGGTAGGATTCCCATAGGCACGTAGAGCCATGGCCACAGGAAGTGGGGACAAGGAGATAGAAAAAAAGAAATTAAAAATACTTTGCACAATTCATAAATTTATTATGAATATTTTGGGAAATGATTTTGACTTTTTTAAATTTTATTATTATGTGTATTTGGATTTTAATTGAATAATTTTGAGGCCTAATCAACACAAGAAATTTTTGAATCTTTGGTTTTGAATCGGAGGAAAAGGTTGCAGACTCACTTCTCCAGGAAAAGGTGTCCTTTATGGAATTCAGTCTGTGAGGGAAGGTTCCAGTGATTGTCTTGTTTGGTATTGGGCAGACGGGGTTTACTCAGACTGCGGTTGTTCCTAGATGAACGGAGAAGCTGACTGCCACTCAGATTTCCTGCGGTACTTGAACGGGCTGTGGTACAGATGAAACCTTTGCTCGGCGTGAAGCTCAAACGACCTCTTGGGGAAAGTGGATCCAAACTTCCTGTTTGGAGTGAACGGAGAAGCTGACTGCCACTCTGATTTCCTGCGGTAGTTGAATGGGCTGCGGTGCAGATGAAACATTTGCTCGGCGTGAAGCTCAAACGACCTCTTGGGGAAAATGGATCCAAACTTCCTGTTTGGAACCCCAGCTTAGTTAGAAGCTCAGTTGAACCTTCCAGAGAGAGAAGGTCCGAACAAATCCAGCCGAGAGGCAAAGACAAAAACAAAGTTAAATCTCAGGGAGACAAAAACTCAGTCTTACTCAATGAAAACTCAGCTTGGCTAGAGTACCAAAAACTGGCAAACAAAAACTCAGGTTAGACTCTGCTAAGCTAAGCATGGCTAGATTGCCCAGTATTGGCAAAACAAAGATTCAGGTTAGACTCTGCTAAACTAAGCATGGCTAGAGTACCCTGTATTGGCAAACACTCTGGCCTCGAGGTAGTGGCAGTCAGCAGCTTAAGAACACTCCACAGATAATGAGGCAATGAGCTGCAGGTGTGCAGGGAGACCCAATGAGGACAGGGCACCACCTGGTGGAGGAGGGAAGGAAACACAAAAACAGACCACACAAACTGGATTCCTGACAGTCATGATATTGAACATGCACAGATAAAATGTTCAAACTGAAGAGTTTTTGTTTGTGTTGAAATAAAACTGCTTGTAATAGTGTTTATTACACATGTGCCCTTTTTTTTTTTTTTAAAGAATTCTGACTTCATAAGACCAATATGTTTTAGTGTGGGGATGTTGTTATCCCAGTTATGTGTACTGTTAGCTTTCAGCTGCAAAAAAATACTCAGGACCAAATGGAAAATGCTGCTTGTTAAAGGATTATTTCAGCTGCGTTTATTTTGCTGACCCTCCATATAGGTAGATTTGCACAACTCACAATTATCTTGTTAAATGACTCTCATATCTGAGCTTTGGTTCCCTACAACTCTTGCAAAGCTACCACTGATTCATGGATGTGTCTCAGACTAAACTATATTTAGTCATTGATGGGTTTCTGAATAAAAAAAGGTTGCAGTATTTCTAGCTATAAGGGTAGAACGGTGAACGATAATGTTATTCTCCAAAGAGACACAGGGGTTTTCTTGTACCATTGTGCCCATTTTGGTATGCACGTCAATTTCCATCCCTGTAGGGTAAGTCAGCTTTGGTTGACAAAATAGCGTCCTCTGTACGCTATATCTCCTTCACTTGCTTTGATGTGTTGTGATTGCGTTTGCATGGTAGTGGTGTGCTGCATGGAAAGGGGGTTTGGAGATTGGATGGGCAGGGGGGTGGGAATGGGGTGTAGAAAAGAAAAGTGCTCTGCAGTGGGATTGTGCTCCCACTGAAGCGTAGAGAGACTGCAGCAGAGTGAATGAGGTTGTGCACCACCTGCAGTCGTGTGTGTGAGAAACTCGGAGAGAGAAAGAGAGAGATAGTGGGAAATAATCACCCAAGACACAATGATTCAACACCCTGCCCCTCTCCTTGGATCCTTTCTTCCTCTCCTCCTCTCTGCGACCCAGTTCTCCTCACAGACCAGTCACCAACCTGCGCCTGCATCACATCAACGTTGCACCGAGACAGCAGCCTTTCATCCCTCTGTTTTTTTGTGTGTGCGCTGAGTTTTCTCCTGCTTCTCTACAGCGACCTGCTGCTTTCCGTTTTGTCACCATCCCTCCTTTCCTGTCGTTTAGCGTTCATCCATTTCTGCTCTTGTGATCCGTTCTCCAAGCTTTTCATTGTTACTTGATTCACACTTTGGTTTGTGTCATAATTTTATTAACTCCAGATATGAAAATGCAACAACGCCTTCTGTAATCCATTTTTTTTCTTGTTCCCCATTACACCCCCCCCCAACACACACACACACAGCCACCCCTCCTGACTCTTTTGCTCCCCTCCTCCCTTCCCTGACTGAGTAAATGCTGCAGCATCACCGCATGTATGTGTGTGAGAGTGTGTGTACGCGTGTTACAGAGCAGCATAGAGCGAAAGAGATGTACGAGTGTGTGTAAACGGAGTGTGTGAACGAACGAGAAGCACCGGCGATCCTGAGCCTGGAGGGTAGCCGTGTGATGAGACAGGAGGAAGGGGTGGGAATGGGTGGGTGGGTTGGTTGGGGGGATTGGCTCTTCTGCCTGCGAACACATTTGCCAGGACAGCGTTACATGCAGGCGAGTGTATGTGCGTGTGAGGTTGGGGGGAAAAAAGTGAGTGAGGGTATGCCAGTGTAGGTGTAACAGTGTCGTCGATCAGCAGCGGGCTCTTTGTATTATGCAGCCGACGGTACTGATCACATTTTGAGGACTGACTCATCCAGACCAGGCTGTGAAAACGAATGGATTAGCAGACAGGGAGACATTTTATAGCTTAAAAAAAAGCTTCAGGTCCTCCTAGACTGCTCAAAGGTCTAGTCTGTTTCAGGGAATGCTGGTAGCCCCCCTCAACCTTGTTTGCTTTCAATTTGGAATTGCATACAGCCAGAAACCACAAAATTGACAAAAACTCCTGAAAGGAACATCAGTCCTCAATCACTGTCTGACTCAGACACATATTTGCATCAGGGACTTGGACGAGGGGATCTTCTGTCTTTTGCCTGGTCTTTTCCTGGTGGTGAGGACGGTTGCAGGATCCTATCCCAGTGCCAGGAGTAAGAGATAAGAAGGCTGGCAGACAAGACGGGACACACACAGGCATGGCTCGCCTCAACTGGTGCCTGGCTGCTGTCATTAGCTGGGGCAAGTTCCTCTTCGCCTGTTTCTTTCCTCTGCGAGGAGCCAAACGTAACAAGGTAAGACGTGGATGGGCTGGCAAGAATGGTAGTAAGAAAGAAGTGTAGTCCAACTTCTTTTCTGTTGGTTGAGTATCTAGTTGAAATGATCTATCTGCATTCGGTCTACCTCAGGATAGGTACTGGCCTTTGCCTAAACCATCAAAATGACGTAGATGTGAAAACGAGGTTGGCAGCTGGTCATGAACCATTGTCTCCAGAACAGAATTGTCTGAGAGCTCTAACTGCTGACTCAAGGTCAGTGTTATATTCTGAAGAGATCTGTAGGCGGCCAAACCTTAGGTGAATGGAGAACTTTGAGGTTTAGATAAAAAATTTGCCATTGATACTTACCATACTTTCGGCATATCCTACTGCCAAAGAGGGTCACCTTGATACGAAATTTGCAGAATTAAGATGCATCATTATTGATGCAGTCCATGGAAAGACCTCCTGGTATTGCCTTATTTTCATCCTGCTTAACACCTTCTCAGAGGGAGATTGGATGTCCGTCATGCTTTCAATATACTTTGCCTGTCTTGAGTCACATTTGTAAGGCCAAGCAGGGTCCATTGAACATTAACTGATGAGCATTACCTAGAGGTATTCCTATTAGCTACCGGCAATCTATGCATTCTTATTTCCTTTAGCAGGTAATCAATCGGTGGTGCGTTCCGACTTTTGTTTTTGGCAACTTTTTCAGTGACACCAAAAAGAGTGCTTAAGGTGTAATATAGGGTATTTTATTCATTTTTAAAGGCATCTCCATCCATATTACATGCAAACCAATCTTTAAGCCAGCAAACACCGATGAAAAAAAGACTCCGCAACACACACTAACCTTAGCCAAATATAACAACAAGCAAGTCGTAATGTATGAAACTTTCCTTGGATTGCGAGCGTAAGAGTGTTTAAACTTGCTGTGATCTTCTGCGTAGCGCTGTAATAAAGTCTGTTGGTGACGCTGTAGCTATCACTGCTGCAGGCACACATGTCTTCCAGCTGAAGACCAGGAGAAAAACCCCCTCCTTTCCCCGGCGCCACCACCACCACCCTCACCCAATTGCCGCAGCTCCTTATCTCTTCAACCGCACTCATTCCCACCACACTGCCCCTCCTCTCGACTCAATCTCTTATAGCGTTCCTGTGTGAAAAGCCACTCGTCGGTCTCTTTTTCTTCAGCCTATTCAATATCTTTCATTATCATCTTTTTTTTCTCAGAGTAGTGACGCATGATTCAACTGAAATTTCGATTGCGTTATTGGCAATAGCAATGCATGTTCTCGAAAGCAGAACCTTATTGTCAATATGTCTACCACTGGCTCCTTTGAGACAATCTTCAAGCATGGTCTGTGTGGGTTTTTGTATTGTTAAGTATTAGAAGCATTAACTTGTATTAGTTTTTATATGTGTGCAAGAAAAAAATAACTTTTATTCTTAAGTTAGAGTTTCTGTGAAGACTAGCATGTCTATTTTGGTACTGCTTCTTCACCACAAGTGAAGATTATTAAGGAAAAAATCGCCCCAAAGGTACAATGTGATTGCTTGTGACCATGTATTGTCGAATGTGGCATCTTTTTTGTGTGCTTTTTTGTCCTTTTTGCTTCTGAATGGTTTTTCTATCAAGGGGGACTTTGCATCCTCTTTATTAAGTATTTTTCAGTCAGTGTTTGCCTCTGGTTTGTCATTTAGGTCATTTTATGTAGCAAAGAACTTTGCACTTTAAATGTATGGCCCAATGGGGTCAGTCTTAGTCCTAATAGTTACTTCTTTATTCCTCATTGATATGTTATTATCACTGAAATATTTGAGTCAGTTTCTGCACAACAATTTCAGCTTTGCTGTTACCCTGTTGATAAGAAAAGCCAACTGGGAGGTGAAAGTGGAGAGGTAACGCTGCTCCACATCTTACCTCTAAGGACTGCTATGGGGTGTTCAGTTTCCATGGCAACGCAGCTCACACAGTCCCCACATGACGGGGGCCGGGTTACTACAGGAGAAGGGATGCATTTTTGGGGCGGTGGATGTGCGGTGGTTTTCTAAGTGGCAGGTGGGGGGTGGGGGGGGGGACCTTCTGTATGTGTTACTAAGGCGACACTACTGCAGCTATACAATATGAATAACCCTCTTCCTTTACATCCATCTTTTGGCCATTTTGTGCTTGTTTCCTTTCCTTTCTTCAACTTGATTTCTGGGCTTTCCACCCCAGTATTTACCTGCATCTTTATTAGTTAAACAAATGCCTAATTTCTTAGGGAGATGCCTTCAAATGGCACTGCAGACAGCAGAGAGAGAAGGGGCTGATTGGAAAGCTGTCTTCTGAATGGCCTCTTATTCTCTGTCTTTGCAGCATATGTATAAAAGCCTCATTCGTTACGTCTGCTGTATTTATCAACCCTCCATGCTTTTACCTTCCATGAGAAAAATCAGGCAGCAGTAGAATGAGCACCATACCCAGAGAATCTTACTCTCCATCCCTAAATGGCTCACTGTACCCCAGGCAACGCAGAGGTTGATGGATGCTTTGTTATTTCAGCATGAATGTTTAAAATATAATGGATTCTCCAGTGCTAGATGAAGCTTCAGATTTTCAAATTGTTTTTTCTAAGCCGCTTCAAGTTAATAAAGCTATTTTCGATGGGTTTATCCATATGTATGTATGCAATATGAGTTTTTACAGCCATTTCTGGGTTATAATTTATGAAAGGGACGCATTGCAATCAGTGTGTTCTGGCATTGAAATATTAAAAAATTGATGACATGAGCAATTTTCATGTAAGGAAACATTCAACTAATCTGCTGTGGACTATTTGAGGGCCACTAGGGGCTGCTAGCAACCCAGTTTAGAGTAAGAAAGCAACCCCGTGGCATTAATGCATCAAACACATGCACCAAAAATCTATCTAAACAAAGCTTCCCAGCAGTTAATTTGACTTCTCTAACATTTTCCTAATGGTGTCCTGTTATGTAAATACACACACGGGCTGTCTCGCACAGACACACACACAGATTATGTGTCAGGTGTGCCTATAGATTGAGGTAACTGTTACAGTGGAAGTGATGGAAAGCAGCATGGATCAATAGGGGGTGTTTTCTCAAAATGAATTGGCTCTTAGCCCTTTATGGATCTGACTGCGGAGTGATGTAACATCCCTGTGCAGCTGGGATAATGTTGATTCAGTGCTGCGGTCTGTGCAAACAAACACATGCATATTGGAATCCTTTATTACGTGCAAGGCAATGTACGGATACATGTACAGCTTTTGTCATAGTCACTCTGTTTTGATCATGATAAAGCTTATAGAATGCAACTAATGTAACATTGTTGTATATAGAAAACTGAAAATTATACGTAATTATCAATTTTTAAACAGAAAGTTTCACTACCTCATACCAAATCCTGCTTTTGAACCTCTAATTTAAAAGAAAAGACAGATTTGAACGCACTGAAGTTTCATTCTGGTTAAAAGGTTTCATGAAGGAGTAAAAGTACACCTATGAAGGGATCCACATATTGGCTTATATAACTTGTAATTTTCATATAAATATAAAAATTGGAAGGATACGTAAATAACTCAGTTACATAGTTAATTATCTATAGTTAGTTATCATACATTGTTATTTTTTCACCCATGGGGTTGCAATTTTTTCAACTGCGCAATGCAGATTGATGACAAAATTAGATCCTACTGGACTGTAACCTACAGCGTAAACACAGGAAGGGCCTTCCTGGAGGGCTAACTTTAACAAAGTTGTTTTTTGTTGAAATGCATTTGACTAGTGTAAGTTTAGACAATGCCACATAGCATCAACGCCTCAAGGTTTTCATGAGCTGTTAGATATGTCATACATATCTGTTAAAACAAACTTGATCAGCTTGTGATCAACCGTTCACTAAATTAGCTAGAGCTAACATCTTTAGCAGAAGCTAACGTGAAAACACAAAGCAAATCGAAAGATAATGAATGACTGTTTAAAGAGACAGTAAAGCGTCTTTCAGTTGTTGTGACACATTGTTCTAATATAGTTGAGAAAGTGTTTTGATCCGGATGCTAACCGTTAACAGCCTCAGAAAATGGAGCTCTATGTAGCATAGCTCTCCATGTGGGTTAGCATCCCATAGTAGTAGCCACACAAATACCAGCTTCTTCGGCTAACTCCCTCCTCTTCCTCTGTTTGGTCCTACCTTATTAACTGTTGTATTTTCTACATTCTCATCAATGTCAATGGCTGAACGCGGGAGTTGGAGCCGTGAATCTGAGGCTCTTCTAATTTTAACACACTTTAGCCTTAAGAAAAATGTGGTGCTACAAAAGTTGCTTGTTTGGCTTAGAAGTATTATTTTCTTGTATTTTGCATGCCATAAACTGCAGTAAGTGTCATCTGCATCACTTTTTAAAAGTGCAGCCCTTCAGCACTTCCCATGCTAGTTTATATATATATTTTTTTATTTTTTTATTTTTTTGCATTGGCTATCAGTTATCGGCCAGTAGAATTTGAAAATATCACCATACCAGATGTCGGCCAAAACTCCAATATCATGCATCCACATTAAAAAGCAAAAACGCACATAATATAATATGAAGCTAAATTAAACAAAAAAACAGATGTAAAACATTCAGTTGTCATTGATAATTAAAGTCGTAGGGAAGTCATATTTAAATGTCAAATCATTCAGGCTTAAACATGTATATAAATGTACTCTTTATAAATTTTCAAATTTCTATTTTAAAAAAATCCTATTAGTTATACGTCAGCTTGTATACCTAAATTCGGCCAATCATATATCAACGGTCATCTGTCAATCACATTTTGGTCATATAATCTTGATTCATATACTGCAGCTAATATTCGCAACGATTGAAATTACGTCCCTGTGTTCACGGGGAAGGACGTCTGTGTCTTCGGCAGGCGTAGAGCTAACAGAACTGGCGGCGAGGCAAGTGCTCAAACATGTACGGCTGTAAGCCTTCTACACCAAACCAACCTTCTGCCACCCTGGCGTCCTCTTCCGCAACATC